TCGGCAGTTGGACATCCCCTGAGGGGTCCCAGATTGGAGAGGGTGCAGGCCGGGCTGAGGGACACCCTCCACCCTTGTGCATAAATTTTGTGCACCAGGCCACTAGTAATAATAATAATGTTTACATAAAAAGGTGAGAGGACCAACTGCTACTATGAACAGTCCCCCCACTGACTTTGTCTCTGCCAGCCTCTGAGCCCTGGGAAGGAAATGGGGACCCTGAAACCGCAGAGGCAAGTCCCCAAGGCCCAGAGCTGATTCCACATGAGCAACCTGCTCACTAATGGTTCTCAGCAGAGCTGAGAGGTGCGCCCAGCAAGGGCCTGTGGGCGAGATGCTGTCTCCCCTGGGTTTGCTTCTCAAGGCCGACCGTCCCTTCACCAAGGATACGCTGTGGTCCAGGGGCCGGACTGAGCAGGGCCTCCGGGCTATTCCCAGCCCCCTCCCCCTGAACTCCGGGCTGCCTGGCCCCGCGAGCGAGTCCTCCCTCGGAGCCTGTCCTTCCCTAAGATGGGCAGGTCGCAGCAACAGCACAGGCCACAGGTGGTGCTGAAGTCTGTACCTCCGCAGGGAGCTTCTTCAGGAAGCACAGAGGTGAGGCCCGCCCTCAAATCTCCAGGGGGCTCTTGGGGACCCTGGGCCCAGCGTTGTCAAAGTGGGTTCCCGTGCAGGAGGGCCGGGTGCTTGTTCCTCGGGGGAGGGGGGTCAGCCAGGAGAGCTGGTGACAAGCCAGGGTCTCGGTGCAGCGTGGTCCTGCCTTTTTCACAAGGTCCCGGGTGACGTGTGTGCCCCTTAGGGTCTGGGTGGTAAGAGGGTCATGGTGCTGACCTGTCCCAGCAGGTGGATGGGCCTGGAAGGCCCCCTGGAGGGAGCGACCCAGGGAGGCTGTCAGAGGCCACGGGCAGCCCGCCCCATGTGGGGCTGGGGAGACAACATCGGCCACAAAAAGCACAGCAACAATGACACCACCACATTCCCGGGCTCACCGGACGTTGTCTGCTTCAGTTTTTCATTTTTCTTTTTCCTCCATTTCCAGGGTTTGAAGATCCTGCCCAGGGTGGCCAGCCTGCTGTTCCTCCTGGCGGGGGGCGTGCGAATCCCTGAGACCAGATATTCGGAGCGCACTGGGGGTGTGGGGTCCATCTCATCTGTAAGACAACACGGAGGGGGCTCAGGGGTCACCCATCCCACGACTCCCTGAGGAGCCACTGCGATTCTGCAGAGCCGGGTGTGTCCCGGGTGGCCTGGGCCGGCCCTCAGGGAGTGTGTTTCATTTCCCTTCTGTGAGCCCCTCCCCTGCAGCCCTCCCACAGCCCGCTGGAAGCCCTAGCTGGGCTCTGCCTGCAGCACAGCAATCTGAAGACAGCGAGTTCCAAGGCAGAACTTCTCCCGCCCCAGGGCCTTTGCTTGTGCTGCGCCCTCCACCCATGCCGCTGCTTCTGTGCTCTGTGCCCTTCAGCTGCTCAGATGAGCCTGGCTTCCTCAGGAAGTCTGTCTTCCTCCTGTCCCAGGTGAGGTCCAGCCCTGGCCCCTGCTCCTGAAGGGACCTGCGCCGCTACCAAGGAGCCGCAATGATCTGGCGCCCGCCCCCCCCCACCACCACCGCCAGCTCTGCCGCGGGCCTGGCTCAGGCCTGGCCATGCTCCTCGTGGACAGTGGAGAATGACTAAGTCCAGGATGGACAGAGCGAAGCCACTGGCACGCTCGGCAGGGAGCAGAGAGACGGGCCGAGGAAGCACACGGCGTTGCCGCCACACAGGAGACTGGTGGCCACCACATGCCCATGGACAGGGTGCAGCTAGGTCATCGTCCCTCCTGTGAACCATGCACAGACATGGGAAGATAAAGCAGAGGGTGTGAGCAGACACCTGCTGTGGCTCAGGGACAGTCGGGGGGGCAGGGGGGACTGGGAGAGAGAATGGCGTGGGCTCCCCACAGGCCGTGTGGGAGGTGTATTTTTTTTACAGATAGAACAGAAAACAAAACACGACTAAGGCAATGGTGAAAGGCGGACCTCTGAAGGCACGGTGCTGCTCACTGGCTCACGCACCCGCCGATGGGCAGAGCTGAGCTGAGTTCAGGCGTCGCTGTGGCAGGACTGAGAAAGCAATGCCAAGCTGCCCCTAACCCCTCCTGGGATGGGGCAGTGGCGAGGACCTGAGGCCCCTGCAGGCTCTCAGATTTAACCCCCCGGGTCACTGGGCTAAACGAGGCCACCTGCAGCCAGAGGGGCAGGGACCCGTGATGGACCGTCACTGTCGGGCCCAGCGCAATGCCTCATGGGACAGGTATTGTACTCACACTGTGAGTCTATAGGGTAGACACTGTCATTACATCCACTTCACACACGAGCACGCTGAGGCTCAGAGCAGGGAGCCCTTGTGTCGACTCACAGAGCGAGGAACACTGAGGTGAGTGTGACCTTGAGCAGCCTGACCCCAGAGACGCCTCTAGGGTCTCTAAGCTGATCCTAGTGTGACCGCGTCAATGGATCACCCAGGGCGGGGTCGACGATGGGACACCAGCCAGGACAGGCCAGGCCAACGGGGGCCAGGCCATGGGTGTGTCCTCTCTCTCTCTCTCTCTCTCTCTCTCCCTCTCTCTCTCTTTCTCTCTTAATTCAGCATGAATTGTGTGTGCGGGCGCTGCGGCCACAGCTGGCCCATAGAACAACCCTGGCCGGTGGGAGGAACCTCTCCCTCCAGGCTCAGCAACCAGGAAGGCACCAAAGGAATGAAATTCTCCACTTGTTTCCGCTGTAATCCCGACGCCCTGCACCCAGCAGGAGCCTGGGACATGCAGGTGAGGGATGATGGAGCCAGGGGGACCCGAGGGTGCCGGGCAGGATCCCTCCGCCTTCCTTGCCCAGCTCCACGCCAGGCGTGCAGGATGCAGCCAGTCCTCCTTTCCTGGAGGCAGTTTATTCCCTGATCCGTGCCGTTCCTTCCTGCGCCCACAGGCGCCAGATGGAGTGGAACGGCCAGTGCCACCCGTTGCGGGAGCGCTGGCGGGCTAAAGGCATGTGGGCACAATCTGCAAAGACCTGGCCAGGTCTCCCCAAGCCGGGGCTCATTTGTAGATGAAGACAAGACCCCAGAGATGAGCTGGGAATGATGGAGCGTTAGCACCCCTTTCTTTATACCACCTCGCCTGGTTCCACCAAGGAGGGTGGCAGGTAGGAGAAACACACGCCGAACAAGGTAAAATGAACATCGAGGAAATCCGGAGAAAGGGGATTTGGACAGAGCCGCAGCAGCCAGAGGTAGAGACCTCAAACGGCACCAGAGGAGGGCACACATGCAGCTATGAGCTTCCTGGTAGGCAAAGTGAAAAGGAGCAGCACAAAGAACAAACCACAGATCGGACCACAAATCCCACCCCACGAGAAACACACACCGAACAAGGTAAAATGAACATTGAGGAAATCCGGAGAAAGGGGATTTGGACGGGGCCGCAGCAGCCAGGGGTAGAGACCTCACACGGCACCAGAGGAGGGCACACATGCAGCTCTGAGCTTCCTGGTAGGCAAAGCGAAAGGAGCAGCACGAAGAACAAACCACAGATCGGACCACAAATCCCACCCCACTTGCTACCTGCATTGCTGAGACCCTGGGCCAGGTCACCAGATGCAGGAAGGGTGAGGTCAAGCGCTTGGAGGAAGGATGCAGCCACGAGGGCCCTGGGTGCAGCTGGGGAGGCAGGCAGGGGCTGGAACTTGATTCCTCATTCAGGAGGGCCATGGGGACCTTCAGTTCCAAAGGCCTGATTCGTTCATGTGCTGGGCGTGCAGCATGTTTAGTCTGGGGGACCCGTAGGGGCCTGCTCTCATCAGGGAGCAGAGACCCCCAAGCCCAGGGGCCTCAAGGAGGACACACCTGCTCCCCACCTCCCCAGGTGGCTCGGGCCAGGGCCAGGTGGGTGAGGGCTTCTGAACACTGTGACTTGCAACCCAAGAATAGAAAGTTCAGGAGCCAGGCTGTGCTGTTCAATGAAGGAATTCCTTATAAATACCTGAGAGCAGAGAGGGCACGAGTGTGTCAACAACTGTGGGCATGGAGGTCCCAGTGAGCGGAGGTGGGTATGGGTCCTTCTGGGCATGGAGTGGGCTCCGCACACGTGAGGGTGGGTGTGAATGTGGGTGGGTGGGTATATAGGAGATGGGCGTGTGGGAATGTGTGCACCTGCATGGTGGGCATTTACGTATGTGGGTGAGCATGTCCATACCTGGGTGGGTGTGCATGCACCTCTACATGTGTGCCCAGAGAGAAGGGCGGGCTGGGCATGCTGCTGCTTCCCTCCGTCTCAGCCTCTGAATCTCTGAGTGTGTCTGGAGTTGCCAAGGAACGCCCTGCCCTTCCCACCCTGGGAGGATCCGCGGGGCAGACGCATTAGCAGGCCCTCCGTCCTCTAAATAGCTCAGGTGCTAAGTTCCCACCTCTGCTGCCTGTGATACATTAGCAGTTAATTAATGAAAATGTTTCCCCACATGGGCGTGAGGAGGTACAACACACAGCCACAGGGCAGGCGGGGCCCGGGTGCCCAGGCGAAGGATGGGGCCAGCGGAGGGCGCCTGCTGACATTACGCACCGAGCTGAAGGCACAGGTGCCGCTCCTCCCAGTCCCCTATCAGGCTCAGGGCAGCTGGAGCTTGTCCCCAGTACCCAACTCCACCCACCTCCCCATCGATGGATCCCATAAACCTGCAAGTCAGGCACGTTCTAGAACAGGCAGCGAGGAACACCAATGCCACAGCCTCACTCCCTGAGCTTACAGCTCATCTCCAAGCCTGGCACAGGGCCAACTCCATTATTCATAATATTCCCTTCCATCCCAGCCCTGGCCACTCTGGTATCATCCTGGGTGTAGGGCTTATTGTTATTTTTCCAGAGCACAGGCACTGTGGCTGTCTTGCCCATCGCTGTGTCCTGGCATCTTCACCGATGCCCGCACCCACGCAGTGCTCCAATAAACATGCCTGCTCAACCTGTGAGCCTGGGATGTGAGTGCGGGAGCCAGGACCTGGCCCCGTCCATCTGAGTCCAAAGTCCACCCCTTAGTCATGCCAGGCATTTCTGCTTTCTTGCCTCCTGACCACTGAACCATCCCTGTCTCCTCTTCCCACACCCCCGGGACATCGGCCTCACAGCACAGTGGAAGGAGTGAGGTCAGGCACCAATGCCACGCTGCATGGCTGGCCTCTCGGGAGACACGCACCATCTATATCAGACAACGTCGGAACATGGTTTCTACGTGTTTATTTATTCACTCACCAACTCATCATCAATATCAGCCGAGGCCCGCTGTGCGCCAGGGCCGCGCTGAGTTTGAATCAAGTCAACACGAGGTGCTGTCTCAGGCGGCATGAAGCTCACCTGCTTATGGAGCAGGAAGAAAACGAACAAGAAAACAACGAGATACCTCCCGAAACAGACATGCGCTATGAAAGCTGTAAAGGAGAAGCTGGGATAAGGAGCAACAGCGTGTGGCCTCTGTGTCTCCCCAGAGTCAGTCCCTGCCCAGAGCAGAAGGAAGTGGTGCTGGACTCCCTGCTCTGGTGGCTCACTGACCACAGGGAGAACCTGGGCAAGGCATCAGCAGGAAGAATAGACAGGGGATTACAACTGCGGAGCACACACTTCTGAGAAGCAGTTCTGGAAACTCTGAGCAGGGGGGACATTTGACTTGGGCTTTGCAGATTGAGTAGGTGTTAAGTAAAAGGCGCAGATCCATCAAAGCCTGACAGTACGTTGTGATTGGAGAAAGGGGAGGAACGCAGGGAAGTGAGAGCCGATGTCCCTAGCCTGAGGTTGAGTAACATTTCCATGCATAAAAGTGAGATGCCAACTTTCTATGGCGTTGACTAATGACCAACACACACACATACAAATAAACATACACAAAACTAGCATCCATAACTAATAGGAAGGATATAATCTCAAAGTACGAAGAGAATCTTTTAATTAAACACATATGGATACATGAGGAAACTAACGAGCCATGTTGTCCTCATGCACTAGTTTGCTGGCAGGGTCTGTGCACTGGAATCTGAGAACTCTCAGGCCGGAGCTCCTGGCTGCCGGAATGGGGGGGATGGAGCGAGGCTGCGGCCTGGCCATGAGGAGCTGTGTGTGGCCGCACAGAAGCCCTG